CGAGACTCCTGGAGTCGTTCTTTCAGGACTGCAGGTCACCATCTGGACTGTTTTGAAATGATGTCAAGAACTGCCACAAAGCAGAGCTGCAGGAGTGAAGAGTGCAAAGAGGATTAATTAGTCAGCGGCCACTCTCACTGGCCTGTAAAACCGAGGTCACTGGCACCAGGATAACACCAAGGTAAAGGCAGTGTGCTCTCATTTGGTCAAGTCAACAAATCTTATTGAAGCAGGGGAAACATTAATGCATTGATACATAGCACTTTAATACACTCTTTGTTTTACTTCTGGTAATGTGCAAAAAAATAATAATAAAACAGCAGTGCTGCCTCATGCCTTTGGGCTTCTGGTTACTAAACTACCTGTCTGTGAAATTACAGACACGGGGGTGACAAATTCCTTTCATACAGTGCACAGGCAAAAACAATGCCTAAAAGGCAAAGCGAGGTTGAATGTGAGAGCAAGGAAACTGAATCATCTCCCACCTGGCAGCAGGAGCCCAAGGTGCTTCAGCAAACAAAAGGCAACGAAGCTGCCTTTGCTAAACATTTTAAAATCCAAGTGTTTCTGAGTAGGTGTACAAAGTCACTCCACATCTGTCTAAATACAAATTTCAAGGCTCTTCTTTATTTTTAACATTTTATTTGTAAGGTCCAGATTTTCATAACAAAACACAAACATACAAATTTCATGTTATTATCTTATGAATTACCAAAGTTACCCATTTGAACTTAAAGAACAAGTTCTAGCTTTTAATACAAAATCATCAAATACTGTTTCCCACGATAACACAAATTCTGCTTGCTATGTGTGTGTCTGTGTGAAGAGAAGTCATTTCCACATTTAATGCCGAAGCTCAGTGTTGGAAATACAGAGCTCTCCAGTTACCGTTTGTCTTCTAACCCTGAATTACTGACAATGCTTCTATATAAATACAATATTTCTTACAAACACTCCATCTGGTAAGACTTCAGTCAGCAAATCTTCTGTTGTTTTTCTTTCTTATGAAGTAAATTGTTAAATTATATTCTGATGGATGAACACATTGCTCCAAGAGCAATACCAACATAATATTTTGCTTGGATTTCTTATATATTATCATACAGTATATGAGGTTGGTTATTGTTACACAATAGAAAGACTTGTTTTTTCACAATTCAATTCAGTTTTATTTATATAGCACCAATTCACAGCAACAGTTGCCTCAAGGTGCTTTATATTGTAAAACCTATAATATTAGAAAGAAAAAAGAAACAATTACACAACCACCTATGAAAAAGCATTTGGCAACAGAGGGAAGGAAAAACACCTTCAGCAGAGTCAGCATTATGCCAAAAAGTGATCAACTGTCATAAGCTAATTTCCGGTATTTCTGAAAAATTGCCTGTATTTAAACTGTTGTAAATACTTGTTAGCTTATAAGTTGTCAAACATATGTCAAATGTATCTCTTATGAATAATATCGAGACATTTTGAGTCAGAAAGAACATCCCTATCGCAAATTAGAAGCTGCAAACAGTTTTTGGCAAAGTCAGTTGTAAATATCCTTTATTTACTTGGCTAAAAAGACATTAAACATGTGTTTTTTAAGAGAGAGATGCCCAAGAGGGCAGAAGAAACTGCAACATATACAACACAAAAGGACCGGATTGATTATAATGTCGATACAATAATGCAGAGTCGTATGGATATGGATGTATTTATTGCTTTTAACAGGTTTCATGGTAACATCCACACAAACTGTACAGGGTAATACTGAGTGTGCAATAGGTTAAAGAAGCAAAGAAAAGCACGAGATCTGCGATGATTGAATCCGTTACTGGGCTGATGTCTCCAGCTGGCTTATGGTCATTATTGTTGTAAGCTGGTTAAAGTTTTTCAGACTTGCTTTGCTAATTGTTTCCAGGCAACATGCAAACCCCCTAAGACTGATGTAATGAGTCTCCATCTGTCCCACTGTGACGCTGTAGCTCAGACCTTTCTTGCTGATTACGGTACAACTAAAAATAGCTGCCAGGTCTAAGGCAATTAGTACTGCTTTAACTGCTTCCTTATCAACAAAGCTCTCTGACACTTGAAATAAGGCACCTTTAAGTATGTTTACTCCTCAAATGGCACAACAAACAACAAGGGGGAAGGAGTAAAGTAAAGATGAGTGCAGATCACCTTGTAATGACCCAGCTTTTGATATTCTGTATATACAAATGTCTGTGATTGTTAATCTACTTTACCTGACAGTCTGTGGTTTTCTTTTGTGACTCTGATTGAATTGAACTGTAAACTTGTTTACACCTAACTAGGAGTTAGTCCACTATGGGCAAAACCTCAGAATATAATTAGCATTACGACTAACATTTCTGGCTACACACTAATGAGATAACTAAAGCCATACCAGCAATAGAACAGACCTAACAGCCTGACTGTGCCAAGGATCGCGCATATGTTGTACACTGAGCTATTTCTGTCCGTTGAAGTGTAGCTCTGACACGTGTGTGAAGTTCTGGCAGTTGTACAAACCTCTTTAACGTAAGGAAGTGTACAGGTCAGCAGGGGTCAAAGCATTACAGAGAGTACTCTAAAGTAGCATTTCACTGACATTTTACAATTTTCATCAACCACAGAAATCTGTTGAGAACGTAGCCTGCTTCTCAGAGTACTGTTTGTCTCCAACTAAGACGCCTCATATCCAGAAACTGAGGCATCATCATCCCAAGCCCTTAACTCAAGTCCTTCTATGGTGGTGAAAAGTTCAAATGTTTTAGTATTTTATTAGATATTTTATTTCTCAGCAGGCTGAGACCTATCCTTCACCCAATAGGCCTGGCTGCATTAGACTAATGTGATAACTATGTTGCTCTACTCTTGCATCAAAATACACTAATTACTATCAGTTACAAGTACTTACTGAAACGGCAACTTCATGAACCCATTTCGTTTTGGCATCAGGATAAGTATACCTACTGCTCACTCACAAACAGCAGCTTGAAAACAAACAGATGTTTAGCAATACTTTGAGAAGGCGGCCCCTTTTCTCAATGGATCTCCCCACCCCCAAAGATTGAGGGCCCATATGGCATAGCGAACCCAATTCCTTATTACAAGTACCTGAATGTTTCACCTATAAGGTGAAAACAGTTGTCATCAGCAGGCAGCATAGGACCTCAGCACACACACTGCTTCAGGTAAGCCACCAGTAATTGCATCGATTTCCCATGCTGTTTACAGAGGCTTCCATGCTCAGACCTCAAGGCTCGCTTCAAAAGCTGTACAAGCACCTAATCAAACTGTTTGGACTCACAACCTGCACTATGGCCATATCTTGCCGAGCATTTGAATAATTAAATGTAATTAAATTCATTTAAATGTTATTCAAAACTAACACCACATAAAACACTGATGGCACAGTAGGGCTAAAAGATCCCGAGGAGTGAATGGCAGCACCAAGTTTTGACAAGGTGCCAGATAAAGTAATGTGTTAAATGTTCACTTCCTAATATTTTTCATGCAATGTTAATCTTAAAGTGAAAGAGTGATTATGGACGATAACAAGCTTTAAAATGTCTAAAAAAATGATCTTGACTCAGTGCTTCCACCAACTGGTAGAATGAAAGACTATTGGAAAGCAGGATGCCCCATCCGCAGCTGGAAAATGCATCAAACACATAGCATCCACATTTCATTTCTTTAAAAGATTTTTCTATATGTAAACGGAAAAAAGGTAAGATTAGGGAGCCTTTATCAGTCCCACTGTTTGTAAATTGACAGAAATTTACAAGGGAATTGCACAAGAAATAAGAAAGGTAGTGTATCATCCAGTGGAGTCCAGCACTGAATAGAAAACCGTTTGAGGAGTTGATTTAAACACTGTATGGCGTTTGAATTTGTATTCAGATGATTTGTATTGGCATCTTCTCTGGAAACAAAAAGCCAATATTTGTCATGTATAATGACTATCAGTGTCCTCTTGACTTTTATAATCTTACCAGCTGCTTTGCAACATCAGTAACATCCACTAGACTAAATTAAATTAGGTTATTAGATTAAGTAACTTTACGCCTAGTACTGTATTTTTTTTCTGTACTCCAATAAATCTGTATTATTTCTTATTATGTTTTCAGAATCTTACCCAATAAAGCTTTGTTTAAATTTATGTTTTTCCCTCTCAGTATTTATCCAGTGATTCAAAGACAGGGGCAGGTCCTGTGTGAATTGTACATGTTCTAACATGACTAAAGGCTCAATCGAGTGGTGGGCTGTCACCATATTTACGGCTAGCCAGGAGCAACTGCTCTGCTAGCCGTCTGGCTAAGTAAATGATGTCCCGGCGTAGCTAAACTTTAGTTAAGTTGTCCACCGTTACCTGTCCGCATGCCTCATACTTTTGGGATTTAACTGTTTTTTAATTCATGGTAAGCAAAAAATGTTTTCCGACATTAATAAATAACGGGGGGCTATAGATATAGTTAGCCACGTTAACGTTAGCATACTTCGCTAGGAGCTATGCCTACATTTGAATCGTAGGAGTTAGGCTTGTTACACCTAGTAGAGACAAGTTTGTGTCTAAACTTAAAAGAAATCAAGGAAATGTACTGGAGTGCTGTAGAAGAAAATGGTTGTTGAATGGGAATGCTAACGTGTTATTATTTAACCGGTAACTCTTGATTTCGCATTTCTGTCCAGATGCTGGAGGATAATTTCACCATATTCTTGTCACTGGCTAGGAAAACGATGAAGGAAAATGATCGGTTCGGATATACTCGGTGTTAGCAGTATATATTAGTGCTTCCGCTAATTTGGGCATTCCAACTTCAGCAGGCCGAAGACAATCCAGCAGCTTTCCTGATTTTCGAAGCAGTGGTGGAGACTCAGCTCAGGACTTAAGTACCACCCATCTGCCCTTCTCTTGGATCCTGGAAAAGCAACGCCTCCTTGTGACTGATATTCAGCATGTCAGGTGCGTTAACGGCAAGCTATTTTACACCTGCTCCATCACTGCCTAGAGTAATAAATCATGTCCTCCACATGAAGTTGAACCAAAAAAGGAGCCCAAAATGCATACACCAATAAACATACACTCCACGATGAACCACTGCTATCAGATAGAAGGAAAGTTTTTGTTATAGAAGCTTCCCATTGTTGTTTCTCGGCTGGATGATCTATCTGGTCCTGCAGCCAAGTGTGTGAACTTGCACCAAAAATCCCCTGCAGACCTTTTGCCTGTGCTGGCATCCTTAGCTGACATCCATGGCTGCATTCCTTGAATCTCAAGCCCACTCACTGAATGGCTATCCCACAGTGCCCCTTTTGCCCTGCTTCTCTCCACCCTACTCTTTCTTTCTCCCTCTCTCGCCCAGCGAGCAGTCCCGGCTGGATAGTGGGGTCCATTGTGTCAGTGAGATGTTTATTAATGAGAGGGATGCACACGGAGCAGAGCTGCTATAGAAGGACTAATCACTAATCTCTTCGTTAATGCGGACAACCTGTGTATGCAGTGGCATACATTACAAGGAAGCTGTGTGACAAGGACATACAAGTTGGTGTTCAGTGGGGTGTCTTGGTGAAGTTTAGTTGTATTTTAAAGTTTTTGGAGAAGTTTTGTTTCTAGGTTTGAGTGTTTGTGTTGGGATGGAAGTTTAGCTTTTATGTGTAGGTGCAGAAACCAAGTTCTGTTAAACAAGAAACCAAGTTTTGTTTATATTATATACGTTTGGATTTAGGAAGAAAGGTTTTTGTATCTATGAAAGGAGTAGTGTTTGTCTGAGTGTGTGTGTGTGTGTGTGTGTGTCCGTTGCCTACCATGCCTTTGCCTCCGCCTGATGTCCCGGCCACTCAGAGGCTGGCACTGGACTGTCGTACCCTTCTGGACCATCGCGTTGGCAAGGGTAAGTGACAACATCACCTCCCCTGTGGTCTTTGGGACCCTGCTTAGTGTCACTGAATAGCTGGTTTTTACCATACTTCCCAAATTCACATTACTTAAAAATAAGTCATTGTGAAAATGGAAACTATTATTTGGGGTCTGCCTCTCTCAAAGTTGCTTGAGATTGTTCACAGTTAATAATACAAGGTGCTGCTAAACAGTGTTGCCCAGTTACCAAGGCAGATTTTATTTATTACTACAATCAATTTATTGCCAACCTCAATTAATTGTACAACTGCTGATTTCATTGGCAATCAATAGGCAATCAATAATGCACTTTTGGGAATTGCAGAACTGAGCTTGATTGATGGATCTTTGCATTCTAAAACCCTGTGAGCTGCTACTATTTCACATAAGAGAGAAACACCTAACATGTTGTTATTTTAGATGTTTAGTTCATTATAAGATCGTCTTAGAAGACTGAAAACTGTGAACCAGAGAGACTGAGCACTTAATACATAATAAGTGTGCATTTGAGTTTTTATGAGTGCACTGCAGTATTGTGAGGTTTCTGATCAAACCGCTGCAAATTTGTGCATTAGAACAAATGTGATGATCGTATCTCTTTTTAATGGCTTTGTGGTAATAGTTATAAAAAGATAGGATTCATTTGAAAGTTCTGCTTTTGTGGCGCATTCATGTTGCTCTGGTGATGAGCTTTGCCATTCGTGAGATGGAAGCAAGCGCTGTTGCATAGAGCAGGGCGATATGACCAAAAATATTTATCACGACATACATTTGAAAATTTGCGATAACGATATAACTGACGATATAATTGACACTAGACAAATTACTTTACAACTCCACAACTTTATTAGTGCAAAAAAACCCCATCTATGTATTTTCACATAAACAAGCAGCTGTTTTTTATGTGCATTAAAGTTATATAAAAAATGTAACAGTGCAAATGCAAATTCCTCGCTGACAGTTTAATCAAAAGGCATTTCCAATGGAAATTGGCCGACATATCCTCAGCATAACCATGTATAATATCCACAAAACATTAAAAAGAGGTTATACACACACAATACGGTAATATTATGTTAAAGCACCGTACGCATCACTGCACGAGGCTCCTGCCTACGATAGCTGTAATGCTCCGACAATCCATCAAGCGGTGCAGGTTCGTAGCTTAGCAAAGTCATACTAAAACATTTGACAGATTTTCGAGCACCGTGTAACACATAAAATTGTTTTGAGGTCAGTAAACACAACCAGAATTCATACATAAGGCACACGGGATTATAAGGGGCACTGCTGATTTTCAGAAAAGGATTGATTTTAAGTGTGGCGTAGTTTCCAAAAAACACGGTAATAACGACGGCCCGCTAGCATGCTCTGCCAAAAATAGTGCTTTGGTGTGTATTTGACGGATGAAAGCTAAACCAGTTCCACACCACTGAAGTTGCAGCATTTTTACAAACCAATTCTGGTTCATCCGTTTCATTCAACGATCTGCTTTCGCCCTTCTCATTCTCTGTCGCCGCCGTGCTTTTTCCGCCATGTGCGTATGAAAACAAAGGCATTGCGCATGCGTGTTTTACCCATATTCAATATTTCATTTTCTCACCGTTGCCCAGCATGTATTACCATAAATGGTATGATATGGCCCAGCCCTACTGTTGAATTTATCTGCTGTTTTTTTTTTTTAGAAAATGAAACCTGGAAGAGAAAACGTAAACTGTCACTTCATTAAAAGGAATGGTTATTTGCTTTTGTTTATGCAAATATCAGTACACATGGTTATGTAATCGCACATTTCCTACTGTAAGGAAGTGTGGCAGAAGGTTGCATAAGTGCAGAAGGAAAAGCTGAATTTAAGTAAAGCAGAAAAGAGGGGAAGATTAATGATGAGAGGAGGGCAAGAGTGATGCTGGCAGGGGGTGGAGAGAGGGAGACGAGAGGGTTGTGTGGGAAGGAGGTATTCTCCCTTTTCATCTTTGTGGTGCACATTTCGCTCTTATTCTGTCAGTCCTTGCCTTTTTTTCCCTCTGTAATTGAAAGGTAGATTATAAGTGAGTTTGGTGTGCTTGTATGCACGCTTGCATGTCAAAATCTGCACTGCCCCCGTTAAGAAGGAGCACTGTTGCAGAAGAATGGGAAAATCCAAGGTCATCACGGCATGCTTTCCTCTGACGTTGCCTCTCAGCCCCTTTTTGTGCGCAAGTGTGTGAATGACTGTGTGTGTGCCTGCATGGCAAGGAGACTGTGCGTGTGTAACTCATAGCAGCGAGCCAGCCTCTGCACCAATCACGGTGCACATTCATATGCCTTTTAGCTCCAAGCACACGTGCAGGCATTTATCCCAGGCTGAGCGGTGCGTGTGTTTGTGTGCATTTTCAGTGCCTCTAGGCACAGCAGTGTGTCTGCATGAGGAACTGAAGCTGCATTAAGAAAACATAAACGGCCGTAGTGAGCGACTTCCACATCACGACTAATGTACGGTAAGGTTAACAATCCTTTTTCCATTGCGTATTGGTCTGTGCATTCTGGGCTGTGTAAACATGTGAGTAATATCAGGCATCCGCCGTTTAGCCTGTTTTCCTACATTCTACAAAGATGTTTCCTTCTCGGCTTTCTTGCGATAAAAAGCAGTTCTGACTAGAGTGTAGCAGCTCCTGAAAGCGCCTTATGAGAACTTGGACACTTAAAAGGATACTCACTGTTACATTACAGTAATAGATTACTCGGGGACTCTGCTTTGAAGATGTTTATGTTTGGTAATAGACACTTATTTACTCCTAACTATCACTGATAATGTTTCTTTCTGTTATAGTTGGTGTTAACAGGGTGTGTTCTCTGTCAGTGTATTAAGTATTTGCTAACTCTGGTTAACTTTGGGTGTTTGCGTTATAACCTTGTGTTCATATATGTATGATTCTTCAGTATTTTAGATACTATGTGTTAAATTATGTTTCTTTAAAAACAGAAAAGCTCTGGTAAGTTCATTTTTAGATTTGATGAAATCCCCCAGATGGTTTTTGACATTTATTTTGGCTCTGATGTTACTGAGGCATGTTGATATATGGTTAATTGATTAGTGTTAATTAAAAATGTAGCCAGCTTTGCTTTGAATTGCAGACTGTTGATGGAGTAAGGTTTTGGTTTGGAGTGGATTTTTAACACAGGCGCTTCAAACTGAAGGCTGTACAGTGTGCTCAGCTTATAGTGTCTGTGCAGGTTTAAGGGATTCATAGTGTGTTGGACCAGGCTTGTGTTATATAGATTTGTTGGCAGCGGGGTCTGGCCATCAGTGTGTTGGTCGGATTACACCAGCCATGTTTGCTTCCACCCACACTGATCGAATGTGTGCTGTGAATCTGGCTCTTGGCTTAATTGGCTGAAAAACTGATGTATATGATGTTTTCCTTATGAAATTCCATATTTTCCAGTACCTCAAACATACCTAAGCGATATGGTGGGCAGGTATGGTGGAGTGTTATGGTTATATATAAGCAGGACATTTGAGTAGTTTTTATGTCATCCCCAAATATTTTTATTCCCTGTCACACTTCCCAAAAGGCTGTCACCCTCTTCTCTATGATATGTACTCTGCTCCTCTCCTCATCTGCTGTACAGTATTCCCAAACTCAGTGACAGCGTCTGTGCATACTGGTTAGCTGTTGAAATGGGCTTGCTCATTATTTGTTATTTGCTTACGCGCTCCTCGTTTCTCGTTTGCTCTCCGTATTGCCAGATTCTGCTGTGTGCTTGCATTTCTTTGTGTGAGTACAACGTTTGAAGATGTTTGCTGATGTAAAAATAGCAGGACTTTGTCTCTCTCCCCCCTCCCTCTTATGTAATGACACCCCTGAAGGGCAGCTTGCTTTGTAACCCTCATGAGAAGTGATGTGTTTCTTGGGGAAGTATGTATATTTACAGCAAGGTCACTGTATGCCTGTGTGTCAGCGTTGGCCTTCAAAACCACCGCTTTGCATGACCCTAGGTGAAGGTGAGGTCTGAATGTGCACCTGCAGTTCTGTTTCCCAAGTATACGCACACCTCCATACACACAGGCAGATATTAAGTGTGTTAAATATTGTTGTTGCTGGGTGTCAGGACTGTATTTATTCTCTCTTATCTGCCATGTGACTTCAGGCACAACAGAGCAGATTTGGGACAGCAGGTGCAGATGACACTGCAAGATGCGTAAAGCGTCATGCACCACCTTGTGCATTCACATGTATGTTTTTGTAGCATCCTTTGAGATAATTTCTGTTATTTATTTATTTTTTTTATTTAGCACTAGTGTCTACAGCTGATATGTGGGAACCCACAGTGCAGTTATTAACACCTCATGGTGTTTGTGTAAGTGGGTGGAGGATTTTTTCTTTTTTTCTGTTTTTTTTTTTTCAAAAATTGTTATTATCATGCAAAAACATGTCTTCTGTAGCTATGTATTTTTGCTTGCCTTTATTTTTCTTACTTCCACGTGCAGTTTTGTCCTCCCTTCTCTCCATTTCTCTCTCACCCTAATGTGGAAATGTTAAGCTGATATCCTGGGGGAAATGGAGAGTGTAATCTGTTAATGTACCGGCCCATTGTTAGGAGGATAAAAATAGATTGTGATTGGCTGGCTTCTTCCTGTGGCGATTTGAAGGATGGTGACCCCCCACCCTTACATGTGTGTATATATCCACTCATAACTTCATGCTGGAAGATTGTGTAGCTTAACATCCAATTAGTAGCGATAGATGTTCACCTTGTCGTTGTATTAGTGTTAGAGCTACAAGTGATTTATTGTTCCTGTGTTTCAAGCTCGTCAGTGTGTTGCTCACAGTGTTTGCTGTGTAGGTTTTATTCCTTATTTGAGTCTGTGTGGAGGAGCTCGGTGTCCAGCCCATAAATGTGTTGTCACCTTGCAGCACAGCGTGGGTGGATGTCGTGAGACCCCCTGCTTTGTGCTTTTCACCACTGTCGACCAAATCATTGTGCACCCACTTTGTTTTGCCTTCTAAGTTTTTTTTCTCCCTAACTAACCCATCATTAGCAGAAGCACAAAACAGCCCTCATTCCTTATAACAGAAACTGAACACAACTTTGAAACATCACAGGAATTTCTGTGCCAGCAAATCAGCTGGAGAAATTTCCTCAGAGAAGCGGCATTGCAGTACACACATTACAATTAGAGTGCAAGCAGAATATGTAAATGTTTTAAATGGCGGTAGTTTAATTTTATGTTATAAAGACCTGTGGGTGTAATCGGCCTCTTTGAGCCACTTTCATCAAGTTTGTTGAGTTGTAGAAACAAATATGCTGTTTGGTGTCAGTCAGTTGATCTAACACTGAAGTAAAGAGAACTGGTTACAATTTTTTAAAAAGGAGGGAAAAGGCAGGATATATCCAAATGCTGCACCACAGGTGTGTGAAATAAAATGCCAATATATTACATAATTTAGTTTATTTAGAAATGACTTTCCCCAAAAAATTTTATGTGCAGCTGACAGAGAGGACAGGACAGATTTGTCCTGGACAGAGCAGATGCAATAAGTAGCACTAATCTGTGACTCATTCAGCACATCTCATTTCACCTCCCCCATCACACTCCCATCTCTGTATATGTCTTTCTCTCATTCTCCTGCCCATTCTCTGTCTGTCCTGTACCCTTTCTTCTGGAGACTAGGGACCCACTGTATTTTTTTATTAATTCAGTGTTGACTCCTACACTCATGCCCTGAGCCAATACAGCAAGGATGTGAACAGGAGGTGGATGGAGTTTAGGTGGGTGCAGGAAGGGAGGGAGAGTTGCAGAGGCCTCATTAGTGTTTGAAGTGATAGAGGAAAGAGAAGAAGTGCTACGAGTAGACTCACACTTCCCTGAGATGAGCACATGGATGACAACTCCTACCGAGTTCAACACAACTTAGAGAGCAGACATGAGTCTTGAAAAACGCGCTTTTAGTACTCAAAGTGATAACTTTATTAAAAGGTCTATTAGGGACATCTTATCTGTTCTTGCAGCTGCCTTGCCAGGCGTGGGTCACTGATAATGTAGCAGAAGGCTACTAAATGTTGATACACAGCCTTGTTGCTCGGTCTAAATGACGATCTCTATAGCAGCAGTGCTCAGAAGTCTAAATAGTCTCAACACTCATTTTCTTTCTTTCTTTCTTTCTTTCTTTTTTTTTTTAATACTGGGAATTAAGATAAAATGTTAAATGTGTTTGTTTTCAAAAGTTGGTTGGCCAAAAATGCAAGATAAGACAAAGTGTGTGAAAATATTTTGTTTTTAATTTTTCTGTTGTTATACTATGTGACTTTGATGTGTTTGTGCTTTGAGAAAAAAAAACCCCTCATGCATGCACATCTCTTGGGAATAAATCATTTTCCACCCAAAGCTTTGCTTTTGTCTTGAGAAGGGACTCAGCGTTAGGGATAGCATCAGTGACTCAGGTGCATTGGCTGATGTTTGTTTCCTTGATTTTTACAGTTTGATTGTGCCAATTAAGTTCTAGATTGGATAGTCCTGTTTCTTTGGGAGTACAGGTGTCTCACATTTCAGGCTTGAAAAGTGTCCATTTATAATTAACTTTGGTAATGCATGACCTCTTCTCACACATATTTGACTTCCAACAACGTCTTGTGATGGGAAGTTTTTCAAGCAGCAACACATGTCCCAATGAAGATGATTGCTTACACAATTAGGTATAATTTCCTGTCATGATTGTACTAACAAAGACACTAGGGATGAGGGAAAGAATTGATGCAACATGGTATTGCGATATCTTGTGTGGTTATATCGTGGGTGTTACACACTCATAGTTTGATATCAGTGTTTGATATTTACCAAGTAATATTTTAATACGTTATTATACAGATATGACTCGTTATGAACAAATATTGAAGAGTGCATAAAATCTTTACATTTCCCGTCTTTGTCTTAATAGATACGTTGCTAACACCAAGGCATGGTGATTATAATCACTTATATTTATTTAACAAGGGGAAATGTTGTCACGTCCAAATAAATAGGCTTTTCTTATTTATTGGATTTCACAAAGTATTTTGCAAGTCATATTTGTCAGTTCTGGCATAGCGTGAGCAGTGTTGTTGATGGTGTTGTTTGAAGAACAGAAAATAGCTTTTTTGGTAGTAGTTTAAAAAAAAATGTATTACCTTGGTGTTGAGTTGGGAGATGGTCTATAAATGGAATGGAAGCCATTATTGCAAAGGTGTAGCAAATAGACCGCTAATAATGTTGTCTGTGTGCTCAGAATGTTTTTTTTACTGCCATTTCATGAGACGTTGCTCAGTCTGTGTAACAGCAGCAACAATAATGATTAATAAACCACTTTTTAATTTAAGTTAAGAAAAGGGAAGAAGATGACGTTGGGAGAAAGGAAGGGCAGATGAAAATCTTTCTTAGTGCACTGATTTTCTTTTCTTTTAATAAACGTTAAATACCTCCTGTCTCTATTTGTGTCAGAGAACCATTCATTACTTGCCTGCAATGCTGACTGCATTATGACCTACTTTTTTTGTCTAGCTTTATGACTCTAAAACTCACACGGTGAGTTTAAAGGAAGTAAGATGGGGGGAAAAATGCACGTATGCTTCAAAGGTGAAAGCATAATTTGGGAATTTTGGAGGGTGTCCCTTTTTCATTTTCACAGGGTCTCCCTTATGACTCATCACTGCTGAATTCCCTCAACCAATCATGTCAGCTCTCTGCCTCTCTGCCTGGCTTGCTTTCTCCTCAGTGCAAAGTCAGAAAAAAATCACTGTTCACAGTTCGTACTTTGTGCTGCATCATTCTCTTTAAGGCTGTCTTGACTGAGAGAAAGCGAGGTGTGTGTGTGTGTGTGTGCGTGTGTGTGCCTGTTTCATCTCAGTGGCATTGCTGTCACTGTAATTGTCTGGTGACCACATTCCTTATATGTTGGTGTCCTGAAGTGTCTTTCCACAGAATCGCCTTGATTTGACATGTGTTTTGTGACATAAAGTTTCGGTTTGATAAATCTTTTTAACGCTAAAAACAAAAGTTCGAGTGATTATGTCATACCCGTACCGCATGAAGTAGGCGTATTGTGTGTATAGGAATTTCTTTAAAAGCTGACATGAAGTCACCTTCTACTGTACACATTTTTTTTTTATTTGTCTCAGGCTATACGTATTTGTAAGTTCATGCGTTTATATTTATGTATGCTGCTAAATTAATGATATTACGGCCTGACTATTGTCAGTTGACAAATATGAACAAATCCATTTTGTCCATTTTCCTGGCTGCAGTTGTGTTTTGTTTTTTTTTTCTTGCCGACAGGTCAGTATGACTTCTGTTAAAGTTAATGTTTATTTTCTGTAACTTATTTTTCTCCAGCTTTCAACCATTACTTCTGTTGTGAGAGCAATAATGTGAAGTCATTAGTTGCTGAACTGGAATGACTTTTTTATTGCCCATTTGTTGCAGTGTTCATTGAATCGGTACCGAAATGTGGCTGATTTGAGACTACCTCATTACTTTGGCTGACAGAGTGCAGACTAATACTACTACCAGAAAAAGAAAAGAGGAAAAAGACCTGATTTATTGTATTTCTATCAGTCACGCTGCACAAGCCTAATTGAGCACTTCTCTCTTGTTTTTGTTTTTCCTCTCCATTTTCTCCTTCCTCAGGGGTTTGTGGCTGTTGCGGGGCACTCAGGCCTCGGTACAAGAGACTGGTAGACAACATCTTCCCAGAAGATCCAGAGGTGAGAAGTGACTCTTTCTGTTTTTTTATTAATACCTCATGTTGTCAAAGTCAAATACCATTCGTCTACATAGTGTAGAGTTACATATAGAAATCATTTGGTGCTTTCGTATCTGTGGATAAAAAATAACAGGGGTCATTGTACGTTAAGGATAAAAATTGAGCTTTGCCAGGTTTAGCTGGTAGGATCCATCTGTGGTCGCTTTGCTTGCAAATATAAATAGTTATGGCAATTTATATTTAGGAGGATTTATATTGAGCTACATAACTGCCTTCTTCAAAGCTCATCTTTCCTACCATTTTTCTGATTTACTGAGATCTGATGCAGATGACTCATAAAGGGAATTAATCTGGGCTGAGACGAAGAAGCTGATTTGCTCTTCATTACTGCCTCAATGCTGCTGCAGTAACCCACTTTACCTTTTAGATCTATGGTCTGCAGTACAGCGGCATAGTTATACTTAACTCTTTTTTTCCCCCCCTGCTTTTTGTCTCTGTGCACCTGCTTATTGTGCTCCAAAATGAAACCTGCAGTGGCTGAGTCTGTAACTAATGGTGCTCCAGCAGATTAGGCATAATTAAGGAGTCTGATAATGTTGACTCGAAATTGTGTCACATCGTGTGAGCATGTGAATGTGTGTATATATGCATTTATTGAAATACTTGATGGTAAAGAAGTTAAATATAGCAATGTATTCTTAGGTTTGTATGTATTTGTTTTCTTTTTTACTTGTCTTTGCTAAAAAATAAATTTGGAAAAGAATTGAGGTCCTATTTAATTTGTAAATGTGCAGTGGCTGGGTAGTGAAACTGGAAAATTCTGAAATGTAGCGACCAAAAAAAGCTACTAATTTCACTGGTGCTTTTTCTGTCTTCTCTTAAAAATTGTGTTGATGGTTTGGATGAGAAGCCATGTTTGTAGGTAAACTTAACAGTCAAACTGGTTATTGCTCATTAAACTAATTTCAAGAAGATGGTAGTTGGTAGCGCATTCTTCGTACGCAGGTATGACAGCAGATGTGCTCTCTTAGATTGAATTCAGATATATAAAAACAATGACTGCATCCTGTTTTTGTGCATGCTGTGACATTACCACTTAGGCACTTACATTAAAAGGGGCATTGTTATTGTTCATCCTGCTAAAATGTGTCCCTTGGTTAGAGACACATCCCCAGCTAACTGTGAGTGAGTTGTTTTGAACATATTGTGATGTGCTATTTTTTTGTGCGTGTAAATGGCAAATTATATTCATAACTTATAACAATAAAAGGAACAATTATGTACAGGATGCTTGGATTGTATAAGTAGTTCCACTGGTGCTCATGTCTTCATCACAAGATTTATCATTTTACAGAGAGTTACCCATTTTCATTTATACAGTGTCTATGAAAGTAACTTTTTTTTCTGTTAATGCGGGTACAATATTGAGAAAAACAAATTACACCTTCTTCCAGTTCTAAGGTTTTATGTATCAAGACAATAAAAATCATGTTGTCTTAAGTTGTGGAAATTTGCTAACACAAAGCAAAGAAAGAAAGACACCAGCAATTACCTTGGAGAAGTAATGAGAATGAAGCCATTTGCCAACAGTTGGAACTTCATCATTGTACAGGAAGAAAGATTATTCGCAAGTGGAAAGCTTTCAGGGTGGTTTCCAAACTTCTCAGCAGTGGATATCGTATCATCTCAAAGTCAGACTGTCAGACACCCCTCCTGCAACCACCCCCCCCCCCCCCCCCCCCCCGCCATCTCAGACTCTAGCAAATTTAAATGTTAAAGTTCATGACAGTACAATTAGTAAAAGGTTGAACAAGTATGGCTTTTTTGGCAGGGTTACCAGGAAAACGCTTGGTAACCCTCTCTAAAAAGGACATGACAGAACAGCTTATGTTTGCGGAACTGAATCTGAACAAACCATGCGACTTCTGGGACATGACCTTTGGACAGATAAGACCAAAATCAAGCACAAACACCTCATACCAACTATCAAGTGCAGTGGTGGAGGGGTGAAGATTTTGGCTTGTTTTGCGGCCAAAGGACCTCTGCAGCAGTCATTGAGTCAACCATGAACTATAGTATAGCAACTAAGTATTCTAGAGTCGAATATGAGGCCATATGTCTGACAGCTAAAGCTTGAATAAAACTGGGTCGTTCATCAGGACAATACTCTCAAGCACAGCAGCAAATCTGCAGCAGAATGGAGGAAAAGGAAAAGAATCAAGGTGTTGCAGTAGCCCAGTATAAGTTCAAAGCTCAACCTGATTGAAATGTTTTGATGGGACCATAACAGATCTGCGCTTTTATAAAGACAAGTGGGCCAAAGGTTGTCAGAGACTAAAAACAGTTGTGACTTTTAAAAGCTACAGAAATATGAGGTGTACTCTTTCTTTTTTGTAACACACCGCTCATGTCTTGTCCGGATGTGTAAAACCTTCAAATTTTATTTCATTCACTCCTTTCTTCTTTTTCTTTTTTTTTTCTTTGGTCTTGTCCGAATGTAAGTGAGATCTCAGAGGACTGTTGGTGTTTTTAGCTCTCTCTTCCCCCAGACCAAACTGAAGAGCAGTAAAGTAGGTCAAGGGGAAAAGTAGGAGTTAAAACCTGATGATCTAGTTATACTCATTGATTTGGGGTTTTTAGAAATGAATAGATTTATATTTGTCACTAAACACACACAGTTGCATTAGAGAAACATTTCTGGAACAACAATTTTATAAATTATTATCCCCATTGACATAAAAAAAGCTGTAAAAGTAAACCGAGCCAAAGCCTGTTAGTGAACATTAACCCATGTATGTAAATCCCATCGGACAATTTTTTTTTTTTTTTTTTTTTTTTTTTAAATTCTGGGTTAACTGATCCTTTGGATTATTGCAAAGTGTCCCACTTTTGCCGTCTCCCTCTGTCACCCACCTAGGATGGTCTGGTCAAGGCCAACATGGAAAAGCTGACATTCTACGCCTTGTCAGCTCCAGAGAAGCTGGACCGTATCGGAGCCTACCTGTCTGAGAGGCTGTCAAGGGATGTGGCTCGGCATAGATACGGGTGAGCTTCAACTGTAGTCTCTTAAACATTTGGTGTTTGTGCGTCTTTTGTGTTTATTCTTTGCCACATATCAGTTTATTTAAATCTAGCACAACTGAAGCTGTAACATAAAAATTCTGGGAAGATTTTGAGGTGGCTTGGCTGTTGGTAATAGGAAAAGTGGTGCTTGTAATATCCTTTCATCAAAGAGATTTGTTCTGATCTCTGCATAAGATCTGAGCTTATCAAAGCGCTTAAGACTGTGCTGTAAAAATCCTTCTTTGTATTCTGCGTGCATGTTCTTGACCCTGTTTCCTCATTACATTCGAAACTCACTGTCACTATCTTCGCAATATAACCAACAAGACATGGAGGAAAATGGGTCTGTTTTTAATAAAAAAGAACACGATTGGTTTGGGTTATGCGTTGTGATGTGTTTGTTCAGTCTGCACTTACTTTATATTCCAGTGAAGTTGTTTTTCTCTGAGCACCCTGCAATGATTCTCACAAATGCAAACAGCCTGTACAGATTATATTTACACTTGGCAGAGTCCAGCTGAATATGCTCAGTCTCCAGAGTTTGTCTGGGAAAGCTTATCTTATTTTGATTTCTTGCAGGCACAGACTACATTTATCTTCAGGGTTAAAGTGACTCTCTATTCTCTCTTTTGCCATTCCAGGTATGTGTGCATAGCCATGGAAGCCCTGGACCAGCTGCTGATGGCATGTCACTGCCAAAGCATCAACCTGTTTGTGGAGAGCTTTCTGAAGATGGTGCGCAAGCTTCTGGAGTCAGACAAACCCAGCCTGCAGATCCTAGGAACCAACTCAGTGAGTTTCCAGGATTTCACTATTGCATTATATCAGTTTGATGACTCCCATTGTTTATAATGAACCACCAAAAACAAACAAACAATCAAAAAAAGAAGACTGGTAGCTGCATTTCTCTGTCAATTTTGCTTTGTGGAAAAATAGGTTTGCATACTTGTCTTATATCTACAACAGAATTAAGTGCCTGTAGTATAAAATAGTAAAAGTATGGAAAACAAATCAAGGGGTGCAATGTTGCTGGATGTTAGTCCTTTCATTCAGATTATATTATTGGATTTTAAACATAGACACTTCTTTAGTTGATTTACAATTTAATAATCAAGAAAACTTGCCTAGCTATAATGTGTTCTATCTTTTCAGACACAAGTCAGCTGTTTTAGTGATATAAATTTACAGAAATGCTCTCACACCCAAGCTGTTGGATGTTAATGTGTCTTAGTTTCTAAGCTTTCCTGCTGCAGCAAATACTGCCCATTTGAGTGGATTTAGAGGTATTATCTGAAATTGACAGGGTGCATTTACTTTCCTGACGTGATGGTAAAAGGCGAGAGATGTTAACCTTGAGAGAATACTGTGTTGAGAAAGATCAGAGCTCAGGGACGGAGTGGTAGGCAGAGAGAAGTGATGAGTATCTTCTGATGTGGGAAGCAGCTATCAGCACTGTCTGCTGGGTCAGGAGAGGACACGTAAAGGAAATCAGATTAGCTTTAGACTATACGGCCGATGCTCTGCAGTCATCTGTGCAGGCTGATGAGACATGCTAGCTTGTCGCTGTCATTCTGTCTTGCACACTTTTATAAACCCAAAACACAAATACAAAGCCTGACACACTCAGCAAGTAGAAGAAATTTATATATACACACAAAATAAAATTATATAATGTGTGTGTGTGTATGTAGAGCACATGCCTATGGGACAAAATCAGGCCCTTCTTAAAATTTAATCTGGCTGCCAGGTTGTAGCTGTGACCTGCATAGCCTTGTGCACATGACAAACTAAACAGACCTCCTCCGCACCCGCAAGTTAAAAAGCTGCATATGATAGAATGCTTAATGAAATGGAAAATTGAATCTAAAGACAGTTTCAAGTGAGGCCAGAGACTGAGTAGCTTACCTCTTTACTGAGTTTAAAAAGGCCCGTGTATTAATTTACCGTGAGACAATTTCTGTTACCAAATAATATAATTTGCAATGTTATTTTATGTTTGAATTCACACACCAGCAAAGACATGAAGACACAGAACAGAACCTTCAAAAAGTCACTGAACTGAAAAGTGCTTTGAAACTCCTCCATGATATGTTTTGAGTGCAATCTCAAAGTGATGAGGCTTGAAAGGGAAGTCTAAACTGTATGGTGCAGGTAAACTGTGCAACAAAGATCTTTTCTTTGTTATTTTAATTAAACTTCCTATCCACCTGTCAAGCTGTGGTGTTCAGACCTGTGAACTAGGCTAGGTAAGACTTCCCGACATATGTGCAAAAACAAAATTAAAGTTTTATTGCATCAGGATGTATTTTGTTGTATTAAATGTGCTCAGTACTGCCAGTAGGTGTCAAATTCAGGCTTGTGAAACAGGTTGTTGTTAGTTGGCTGTATTGTACCGTTCTTATAGAGCCATAAAGCTACGTGCACACTCATCACACAAGGCTTTGTGACTTAGGCTACGTTCACACTGCAGGCGAAAGCGCATCAAATCCGATTTTTTGACCCTATGCGACCCATATCCGATCATGCTATGACAGTGTGAACGGCGCAAATCCGATATTTTCAAATCCGATCTGGGTCACTTTCGTATGTGGTACTGAATCCGATACATATCCGATGTTTTAGAAAGCGACTGCTGTTTGAACGGTCAGGTCGCATTAAATCCGCCTTTTACGTCACCGACACAAGACTGAAGCCAATTATCAGCACCAGAGAAGCGCCCGAGAAGACATCGCGAACGCTTCCTGGCCATCCAGTGTAGATGTCAGTGAAACTGTTGGGAAGACAACGTAAACATTTTATTTGTACTGTATAATCTGCAGATTCTGACAGAAATCTACTGCTATCCTTTGAAGCACCGCTCCTCTCTTAAACGGCAATAAGGATCATTATTAGGTTATTTACATTATTATGTAAATAACAAAATAACTTAAAGCAAAAATTGGGAAACGTGAAGACCGAAGTCTTTATATTAAGGGCCATCAGTCAAACAATACTGTTGCTCTGGGTCTAAACAGAGCGCGTTGTGTGTGACATCTTCTTTTGCGCATGCGGGCCGCTTTGAGCGTTCACACTAGAGAGCGTTTGCTGTCGCATTTTATTTGTAGTGTGAACGAGCAGACAAAAAAATCGGATTTGATCAAAAAATCGGAATTGAGCATTAAGACCTGCAGTGTGAACGTAGCCTAAAGGCTGGTCAATTGTGGACATTCCTGGTTCTGGTTGCCTAGGTAACTATAATTTATTTACTACGAGGTCATATGTCACTCATTGGTAGCTGCTTCAGTCACTCCTCTGGGAATAAAAATGTTTATCTCTGTGCCCCCTTCTTTTCTCACACACACGCACACACACACACACACACACACACACACACGCTTTGCATCTCCAGAGGTTGTTTTACCTGTAGTTGCTTGAAGTCGCCAAATGCCCTTGGCTTTCTTTGACGCTCCCAGTGTGGACATTGCTTGAGATCTTCAGTTGTTCATTCAAGACTATATTTCAGTACATAAATGACGCTATACCTCTGCATGGTATACTAAGCATGAGGGCCCCGAGCATGTAAAAGTTCCTGCCCTAGTTCTGTGTGAATCACACAGAAGTGACACCATGTGTACAAACTGTAAACTACATTGAATTGACATAAATTACACAAATATTAAGACCAGCCAAAACCATGAGCAGCTGCCATACAGCTTCTGACTGTCTTTGTGTGCACAGTGTAGCTCATCAGAAGCAGGTCAGAGTCAGAGAGAAATGAATTAAAAGGAAGATTAAAGAGGTTATTACAACAGGACTCAAACTTGGCCAGATATTGTTGCACTCTGTTTCTCTGACTAAAATCTTCACTAAACCTTGTACTCCTGAGAAATCTCTAACACAGCCCTGAGCACCAGACCTATTGATTGTGTCAGCCTGCTTTTATTTCTTTGGAATCTGTGATTGAGATGATGGAGGTTTTCTCTGTTTTCTATTGCCTCTGGTTTTGGACACTATGCTAAAATTCTATAACTAACTGAAAGCAATAAGAAGAGTTTCAGCATAGTTGATACATTAATACCTGGAAGCTGCCCATCATTACTGCCAGTAACACTGGGCAGCTTCCAGGAATCAACTGTGGCAGTAAATTGCTGCAGCAGCTGAGCGGCTTCACAGGAACTGTTATCGGCTCGCTTCATTTAATTTGAAGCGAGGATACTTCAAGGATACTTCATTAAATTTCAAAAACCACTCCATGCACTCATTCTCTACACAGGAAATGATTCAGCAAGGACGTCATTAGATGCTAATTTTCTTTGTGAGCGCTACACTTCTGTGTTACTTTGCATGGCATAATTATGATTTTCTGTATTGACTTTTTATGGTGTAATTCTTGATTCACATAGTATCATGATCTGGCTTGATTCTAAAGAAATTCACTTCATAATCTAATAATTGGAGAGTCGTGTGAAGCTAAATGTCAGCCTGTTTACTTGGTGACATTTTCTTGCCCAGTGGGAAAGCCTCCCTCTGCCCTGTGTTTTCACTTTTAATCCTGTGTTAAGAGAGCTCTAGTTTGGCTTTAATTTAGCAGATATGCACCACTCAGATCTCAGGTTATTGGGCTTGGGCTTTTTAAGGAATGGGCATATTATTGTAAATCTTTTAGGCTGAAGTGTATCTGTATGCTATTAAAACTGGATGTCTTTTTCCCCCCCTGTCTTACCTTCTTCTGTCGTTAGTTTGTAAAATTTGCCAACATAGAAGAAGATACGCCATCGTACCACCGCAGTTATGACTTTTTCGTGTCCCGCTTCAGTGAGATGTGCCATTCAGGCTATGAGGACCCAGACATCCGCACCAAGTACGTAACAGAGACGCTCGACTGCAGTAGAGATGGAGTTGTTAAATAAGTGCTATTCTGAGTCTACATGGGTAGTGTTTATTTTTAGTTTTTATTCCTTTTTTGGACATTTTCTTTTGTACACTTAAAAAAAAAGAAAAGAAATGTTAAGTCATTGCTTTCTATTGCTGAAAATAGACTGTAAAATCGTTTGACAAATCAAATATAGCTTTGACATGGAAAAAAAAGAAAAGAATAAAAAACAGCAATTCAAACAACAAAGCTAGGTGCAAATATAATTTCCTAAATATGGTTACCTATTTATAGGCCGAGTAACCAGTCAGATGGTTTCTGTGTGCGTGTGTGATTGTTGCTGTAAGGATCCGCATGGCAGGTATCAAGGGTCTTCAGGGTGTGGTGAGAAAGACAGTCAATGATGAACTGCAGGCCAATATCTGGGACCCTCAGCACATGGACAAGATTGTCCCCTCTCTGCTTTTCAACCTGCAGAGTGGAGAGCGTACCGAGAGGTGAGTGCAAACAATAAAATGCAAATGTGGATTACATATGCAGCAGAGTAGATGTGCTCCATTAGCTTTTCAGTGTAATGTATTATATTAAACATTAACCATTAACCTCCTAGTACCTGGCGTCCACACATGTGGACATCACATTTTGGGTTATTTAGACCAAAATACTCAATTTTGCTCTACAAGGGCCTGATATCCACTTACGACGACATTATACTGCTATTGTTCTATCAAAATTTTAAACGAATATGTGGCTCTCATTTTTCTTAGAAACAAAAATTAGGTAAAAAAAAAAATCTTGTAATTCTGTGGGTCCTGATGAATGTAAAAACAATCAGCCCAAATATCAAAGAGAAATTAAAAATACATGCTGTGGTATAATAACTAAGATGAGGCTTTTCATAGTGCTTAACTGGACATGTGAACTTCAGTGTAAGCGTTTCATAAAAATCATCTGGTCCATACCACTTCTGAAAATTGAGTATATGCAACCTCAGATGAACAATAATATATGACATATTACAGTGTGCTATTGTTTATTTAATACATATTAAGCCAAAATGCAGAAGCATTGTGTGAAAAGCACCCTTATTGCTTCCATAACAGTTAAGAGGGTAAGTAGCAACTAGCTCCTGCTAATAAATTTGATTATTTGCTCATCAGTGAATTTGAGAACCTCTATAAAGGCAGTGGTTTTGGCAGTCTGCAGGACTGAAGCGTTTGGCCGAGAGGGGAAGTTTTTAGCAGTGATCTTAGGTAAGTAATTGCTGCCACCCATCAATAAGGCCATATCCAATCAATTTGAAGTCCATCCTTCCACAGTGAGAAAGATTATTCACAAGTGGAAAACATTGAGGACAGTGGCCAATCGTCCCAGCAGTGGACCTCCCACCAATTTATTCAGCCAAGCTCAGAAAATCTGCAAAAAAACCTAAAGCTTAAATGTTGAAGTTTATGACAGTGCAAGGGTTACCAGGAGAAAGTCTTTTCTGTCTAAGTTGCTCACAAAGGAGCTTAAACACACCATTTAACGTGTGGAGAGAAATTTGTTGAGTTAACAGCAGCTAGTGTTGACCTGCCTGCCTTAGATAACACAATCCAGATACACGATAGCCAACTGGTGTTGTTTGTCTCACATTAGGCCATATTTGTCCTGGCTGTCTAGCCAGCGATCACCCATGTCATTCATCATCACTGTCATCACCGACAGCTCTGTTTCCCCTTTTGGACATCTGGTAACCCACCCAGAGCAGCCAAGAACAAGGAAACCAAGACACGTGGTTCAGATTCCAAAGAGAAAAGGAGTGAATGTGAAAGGAGGAAAAAGCATGCACAGAAATATTGCAATGGGTGAAGAATTATAGCTCACAAACACAGAGGTAGAGGATGCCACCAGCAGTCTGGAGTTTCTCTCTCTTGGCTGTATTACACATACTCAAATTCACTTTGACGTCAATGCCGAGATCTGAAAGTTAGGAAAGCAAAGAGGGAGGGCAGCAAAAAGAACATTGGGAGATCTGGTGAAGGATAGATAATGGAAATTAGAGTGATAGAAATGGGAGAGTTATTCAAAGACGGAGACAGACAGATTTATTGCAACAGGGAGTCACATTTCATTCTCAGCTTCTCTCTGCTCTGTGTGTTATCCCCCTGCTGTGCATCCTCATTTCCTCTCACACTGGGTCTAGCTTGTCATTACCCACAGCAATCAGTACAGAGCCTAATTACCTTACAGATGGTGGATTTTCAAATCACGTAAAGATCAGCTTTAGTCAACCTTCTGACAGCTGGGACTGGGAAAGTTTATTGATGCAGATGACAGAAGCTCTCTGGACTTTGTTTTGTGTTTAAACTTCAAGAACACATGAGGATTGTTTGTAATGTATGTAGTTGCCTAAAAAAAACAGAAGCTTGTTGTTCATCTGAGGTATTTTTCACATAGACTCATAAACAGCACATCTGAGATCAGGTAGCTATAGCTAAGTTCGCTTTTTCAAATACTGGTGATGCAAATTTGTCCTCACAGCAGATGTTTACTTGAGAGAGATTGCGCGGGATGAAACAACCTTTTTCTGCCACAATGCTTTGTAACCACTGAACAAATAAAGAAACTTTAAACAGCATGATTTTTTTTTTTCTGCAGCTGACAGAAAATATCACTGAAAAACCTCACTGACATCAGCTTGTGTGCTCTTGCTAGTTTAGTGTGTTTTACTTTATTTAATTTTTTTTAATTTTTGCGTATTTTAGTTTTGAATACAAAAGATGGGGCAGGAACTCACATTTGCTCCACGGAAACAGCAGGCAAGATGAAAGAGTTAGGCTTTGAATAAATAATGTCATCATTGGTGGACTACCCGAGGCTAGTCAAGACCAAGATGGAGCTATGGCGGATGTTTTTAACTATACATGAGAATGAAAAAGGGCTGGACACGAGAGCGAGAGACCACACGATTGACATGAAACGTTTGCGTGTACAAATTTGGACACAGTACGTAAATGCGTCAAACTGCAGACAAACTGCAGACAAACTGCAGAGGGTAAAGTCAGCTCAGAAGCACAGCTGCAGAGATTCAGCCGTACAGACTGTGTTTGTGTAAGAAATAGAGCATTTGTTGAAATGTCATTATATTAAGTTAATTTCAGTGCCTTGCCTGTTCTCTGTTCTCTCTCTCTCTGTCTGCACCCTCCCAATTTGCCTTCCTCTGCCTCTCTCTGCTCGTCTCCTCCCTGCTCCCCCCCCCCCCCCCACTCCTCTCCTTTTCTGCTTCCTCACCCTCATCGCTCCCTGCCAGCCGCTCTCCCTCTCCGCTGCAGGCATCAGAGAAGGAGAAGGAAAGCCCGGTGGAGCTGACGGAGCGCTGCTTCAGGGAGCTGCTTGGACGAGCCGCCTATGGCAACATCAAGAATGCCGTCACGCCCGTGCTGATGTGAGACAACCAAACAGTCGTATTCATAAGAAATAGCCTCTGTTTGTGATGTGTTCCTGCATGCGGTCGTGTGGTTTGTTTGTTTTTTTGTGTTTTTTAAACATAGTGAGTAAACTTGAAGACAACGCTGCATGTCAGGCGCATCTTAATCTTTACACTAATGGGCACGTGGGGCTGTGACAAGGTCAATGCAAGGTTATGGAGTTGTTCTTGAATTGTGACTGCATGGTTTGCAGATGGGACATTTAAATTCTATATTACTGCATTTATTTTTGCAAGACGTGATCTTATTTAAGTTTTTCTTTTTTGTTCTACCAATACATTTCTGATTTTTATTTTTTTTTTTTGTATTTGAATTTATCCATCTTGGTTGTTCCTCCTGAAATTAAGTATTTTATCTGTCTTAGCCTTTTCCTGTCCCCACATTTGCCCATGTGCGGGGGCTGTGCAGGGGTGTTTTGGAAGTTGTGGCTGACCTTTTAGTTGGCAGGTACATAAGTTAATAGATTGGATATAACAGTATGAATATTTCAGGCCCTTGCAAATAGAGGTAAATGTTGACTACATTATGGGTTTTAAAAATGCCCAGTTTTAGGTACTTTGTAGTGCCTCAATGCCTTTTTCTTCATTTCTGTTCCCATGTCCTACACACATTTTCCTTGCACACTTATATTTTACATTTATATTGTTAAGCAAATCCGTTTTAAATTATCTGTCAATTTTAGTCTCAGCAGTCGTGTGCTCAGCTTAATTGCGCATTTTCCACGTTCTATCAATGTCAGATTGAGAGAATGTTTTTAAGTATTTAATTACTTACTGTAAAGCAAACCGTATGTCATAGTAAGTATTTATCTGTGCACTACTAACTCCTATTTTCAGTTTTACATTCATTCTTAAACCCAGACATGATGTATGCTGTCTGGACTAAATGCGGTCTTTATGGCTTACTGCTCTCCATCATCCCTACTGCTGTGTTATTACATCCTGTGTATCCAACCTGTTTCTCTTCCTCTGTTCATAACCCCACAGGCACTTAGATAACCACTCTCTATGGGAGGGAAAGACCTTTGCAGTGCGTTGCTTCAAGATCATAATGTACTCCATTCAGGTGAGTGATACACTGCCATGATATCCTTCACAGCCTTACCCTTGCCTCTTTTCTCTGTCTCACACTCTGCTGACTTCATTACTAGGTTGAAATGGAATATGGAAAACTTTTGTATGAATTTTTGACCACCATGTTTTTTTTTTAATCTTTGCAAGTGGTTATTGCACATTTTAGTGGTGCAAAGAAGAAATGTGCTTCAATATTCATGAAGTTCTCACTGATTTCAATTTGGGCTTCAGCCTATTTGCTCACAGCTGTGGTTCATTTTGGGCCTGAATGAAAAATGCAAAAGGAGTAATGCACTTTATCACCAATATCCAGTTTTTAGTTTGCCATTTAATTAAGCGTATTACTTCAATACAAAAGTTTTCTGTCACTTTCTCTCTCACTCTTTTTTTCTTTTCTGTATTTTTCTTTTTTTCAAGACAGGTCAATAATTTCCTCGGTTTTTTGTTGTTTTTCTTTCAGTCCCAGCACTCACACTTGGTAATCCAGCAACTTCTCGGTCACCTGGATGCGAACAGCAAGAATTCAGCCACGGTGCGAGCTGGGATAGTGGAAGTCTTGCTGGAAGCAGCTGCCATTGCAGCCAGTGGTTCTGTAGGTAAGTTGCAATCCTCCAAGGTCATGTAAAGTCATAAACACATAGAGATGTGAATGTTTTTTTTTTAACTATAAACTGTGTATTTGCAGGTCCCACAGTCCTAGAGGTGTTCAACACCCTGCTGCGGCAACTTCGTCTGAGTGTAGACTACGAGCTAACCGGCTCATATGACGGCAGCACCAACATCGGCACTAAGATCATCAAAGCTCATGAGGAGAGGCAGCTGCAGGAGGCTGTAATCAGGACCATTGGTGAGTCTGAGTGCTTTGTATTTGTTAGTGAGGGAGTGTTTAGTAGATGTATGTGCAAGTAGTAATTGTTATTACTAGGTATGTGTGTGACTATATGTGTGTGGATTGCTGCAGATGCTATTTGGCAACAGAATATTAGTTGGTTATATTATTATTCAACTAGTATGTTCCCATGCTCCAGCATGGTTTGGCCTGTTTTTGCTGTTAGTAAATGATAGGATGCTTTTATAATGCGTTGTGTGTAGGTGCATTAAAGCAAAAAAACAAAAAAATCACAGCTCATTTTAGCCTGTGGTTGCATGGTTGCCAGGCAACCTTATAGCGTCATAATATATCACGCATAGTTTCTGGATATAAACTACATGTTACTGCTGTAAAATAAAAATGATGTAATACTTTTAAAAGTTGTTACAGGAGCATAAATGCTAAGAATTGGTAGGTGGTTGGTTGGTAGGTAGAAAATATCTGGTACACATAAGAACCTTCAGGGGCCTGAAATATATCTGTAAGCTGACCCTAGCACTGCTGACATTAGCAAACAATCAATCAACAATCAAAATACTTTAATAATCCCTAAGAAAAGTATGTAAAGATATCCACATGATTGAAAAGAAAGCTATTAAAACAGGCGAACACTCTTAAGTACAAAGTAAAGGACAAAGAAATAAGTAAGAAAAAAATTAAAGTAAAGAGAACAAACAGGAGCAACTGAAACAGGCTGCATGCTGGTTGATGCATGCTCACTGAGTTTCAAATAATCTGATATTGTGTGCATGGATTGTTCTGGTTGGCTACCCGTTTCAGTGACATGTAGAGTGCTTCTCAATTATTGGAGTGACTAACAGTTTCAAATGGTGTTTAAATTACCTACGTAATATTTGTGTAGGCAGTGTTTAATGTCGCCTATTTAATTAAACTCACTTTGATCTCTTCTGAGTGTTTTCCTATATCCAGGCTACTCCACTAGTCTTGTTCTTTTTCTCCTGTTTAAACAAATAGTAAATGAGTCCCTTGGAGGATTCCTAATTACTAATATAGATTTTTTTTCTTTTCTTTTTTCTTTTGTTGAACATTTTATTTCATTTGGTACAAACTGTCTGGTTCTGTCCCTTTCAGGTTCATTTGCCAACACTCTACCAACTTACCAGAGATCAGAGGTCATGCTCTTCATTATGGGAAAGATCCCTGTTCCTGGAATTCACCTTACTTTGCCCTCCTCGGACTCTGGGTAAGTTGACTCAAACAGTATTCACCTGTATGTTGGTAAACTTAAGGGCACAGTCTTTATTTGCTGTTTGTAATTCCAGGCCTGAGGGTACCAGGATGATTCAGGTTATGTTACTCAAGTCCTTGGTCCAGGTAAGTTATCATTTCTCAATGATTTAATTTTTAAGAAACTTGTGGATCTTCATGAATTTATAAAGACTGACACGAAATGCGTATTCCTATCAAACCGCATGATTGTAAAATCAGTGGCCTTGTTAGGCTTTATGGGCAAGTTCTTGATCTTTGCTAATGAAAGTCTCAGAAGTGTCACTTAAACTAAGATAGTTTGCGACACTGTCGCAGCATAAGAGTCTCTCAAGTTATTGCTAACTTGGGAAATTATAACCACACTGCAGTTACCTTGATGTTCCAGTGCATGTTCAGTTTTGTAAACTATGTGTGGGATTTGATCATCCCCCTCGTAGGTAACTGCAGGTTTTCAGACTACCAACATGCTGACAGCGCTGCCCAGCTCTTTCTTGGAGCCCCTGCTGTCCTTCTCTCTAACCGAGGATCCAGAAGTCCGTCTGTTGGTGCTGCAAATCCTCCTCAGTCTCATTGACAGGCATGAAAACAGGCCCAAGTTTGCCAATATGAGGTGTGTGATTGTTTTTGCAGGAAGATTGAAGGGCTGAAGTGTTTTTATACTTCCCTTATAAACCCATACTTCAGTTACAGTTTGTGTCTCTTTGGTCTTCTTTCTGTGTAGCAGCATCTCGGACATCTCTGTGCTGAAGCTCAAAGTTGACAAGTGCTCCAGGCAGGACAATTTATTCATGAAGAAGGTAATTTTTTAAATTTATTTAGTTGACAACCTGTTCCGCCTGCTGAACAACATCCCTGTGAATTATGTAAATTCACATAAACATTAAATATTTATTTTAAAATAATTTTGACAATAAATCTTTACACCAATGTATCTGCACTAGACATTTCGAGTTCCATTTACCCTGCGCTTCATCCATTCACAGCATGCCCAGCAGCTATATCGCCACATCTACCTGGGCTGCAAGGAGGAGAGCAGTGGCCGGGAGCACTACGAGACCCTCTTTGCCCTGTTAGGTCTTCTCAGTGTAGAGCTGGCCAATGAAGAGGTGGTGGTGGACCTGATTCGCCTCGCACTTGCCTTGCAGGTATAAATGTAGAGTTTTAAGTAGCCTGTTTATTCCCCGAGCTGCATTTATCTACTACATTTGAACTACAAGATGAAAAATATCCTAATCGCAGCTTAGAAAGCGTCAGTTTCACATGTATCATTTCACAAATGACACTGACCATCAGCTGTAACACTGGGACAGTGTCATAGCTGATGGTTTAAAATCAAAAACAAATAAAACGACCAAACATTACAAGATGAGAACAAATCCTTCTGAGGTAGGGTGTTTCACAGTGCGGTGTCTCTGTTTCCTTTCCAGGATCTGGCTCTGTCCACCGACGAGGCTCTGCCTGTTTATAACCGCTGTGCTGTTCATGCCCTTGTCGCCGCCTACCTCAACCTCATTTGCCAGCTCACCACCGTCCCAGCCTTCTGCCAGCACATTCACGAGGTGTGTGTCTGAGCCTCTTTGCGTGTCTGTGTTTTAATGCTACTGTAACTGTTTGTTTATCCCCTGACTCTCTGCCTTTCAGGTAATTGAGGTGAGACAGAAAGAGAGTCCTTACCTTTTGCCCGAGGCCGTCTTTGTTGACAGTCCAAAGTATGTACCAGCTGCAACCCACAAGTGTTTAATTTGATATTCAGATACACAGTAATAATTTTAAATTCCTGCTTTTGAATGCAGTTTATTTTTCTTCCTAGATTGCATTCTTCACTGGACAAAGTAGAAGGAAGTGTTTTGTTCCTCCAGTCAAAGATCACAGAGAGCCTTGGAGGAAGTGGTTATAATACAGAGAGACTCGCCACACCTTATGTCCCTCAGTATACTGGTAAGGAGTCTAAAACTAGTCGTTCGGATGCAAAGGTCTTAATTTCTCTGGGGTTTTTTTTGTTTATATTTCCTCTTTTTTTCATGTCACTGTGCCAGCAGCAGCTGAGATTGTGAGCATTTTGTTTTCAGGTTGATGATGAATTATCTTTCCATTTGTTCATCCCTTCTATTCTTGAGAAAATTGCTTTAAAATTTGGTTGTCAAAGTTATCCGCTTGGAGTTGAAGATGGACCCAATACATTCTGGTGGTTCCTGAGGATCACTGTGACCTCACAAAAAGAGGTTTTTAGCCATAACTCATGAATTCATATAACAATTATTAGAAACATTCACAAAGATGTCTTGTAGGAAAAGTGACATTTTTTATTCTAAAGGTCAGCCTTACTATAATATAATACTCTTCTATTATTTAAGAAAAGGGGAGATTGTTACCATATTTCATATTTGGTCAGATGGTCTGAGTTGGTGCCATCAATCCTTTGTACCCACCTTGAAGCTGTATTAACACTGTGCAGAGTATGGACAGCATGACTCAGGCGGTTTGCAGAGGCATATGAACATGTGGTGAAAAAAGTTATTGAAAAAACTCAATAAATTTTCTGCACTCTGCTTCCAGATGAGGACCGTCTGTCCAAGAGAAAGAGCATCGGTGAGACCATCTCACTTCAGGTGGAGGTTGAGTCCCGAAATAGCCCAGAGAAGGAAGAGGTGAAAAAAAAGACTTCACAACCTTGTACCCTGTACCCTCAAATGTACCCTGTACAAAGATATTTAACATAGATTCTTGTTCTGGTCTGCAGAGGACTCCAGCAGAGGAGATCACATTTGAAACCCTGAAAAATGCCATTGGTAAATCCACTCTCTTCATTTGCAAAGCCCTTTTTATTAGTTTACAATGATGGATTGATGTTCTAAATGTTGACGTAATTTACCAAAGCATGACAGCAGGGAACAAATACAAACTACTTTTGTATAAAGTGTCCGTGAACTTTGTCTTGATGTTTTCACTTTGAGGCACACGCTACATTATATTGCTTTTTGTCTCCCTCTAGTGGACAGTGTGGGTATGGAGGAGCAGGAGAGGGAGCGGAGGAGACAAGTGGTGGAGAAGTTCCAGAAGGCCCCCTTTGAGGAGATAGCTGCCCACTGTGGTGCCAGGGTATAGACCCCCTACCCTGTTGAAAAATAAAAAAAAAACTGCTTATGTGTGTGTGTGTGTGGGGTGTTTTTTAGTTTTTTTTTTTAAAGAAGGTCTTAAATGTATTGTTTTTGATGTCTTCTGTCCCTTATAGGCCACACAACTGCAGAGCAAACTAAATCAAATCTTTGAGATCACAATCAGGTAAGGGACAGAGCTTTGGGATGGGAGTAGTCAATAATAATATGGATGGCAGTCATTCTGACTAACAGGAGAATACCTGCATTTTTATGTTTTGGAACTAACAGCTTTATTTTCTTCCGCTTTCTGTTCAGACCCCCTCCCAGCCCATCTGGAACCATTTCATCAGGTTACGGCCAAAGCCAGAGTCGATCTGTACCCATTTACGAGATGAAGTTTCCTGACCTATGTGTTTACTAAACCACAAAGTCTTCAGCAACGTAAGCGTACAGTAGAGCCTTCAAGGACAGAGAAAAGATTTGAAAGGGCAACCGATCCTCACTGTAAAATTGTCTTGACCGTGGAATCAAACAGCCACAGTGCACGTGGGACAAACTCAGCTGTAACTAAAGAACACCTCTTAGCTGTCTGAGATTTTATTTTAGCCTCTGATTGCAACAAAAACAAGCTCACCAGTGTCTATATTGAGCAGGAAAACAAACGTATTTCACTCACTTCTACTGCATCAGTTACTCATCCCTAGAGACTGGTTAGGGACCCCTAGCAGCCAGCGGCCTATTGGGAATGATATGCAATCCCCGATCAGTTGGCGAGTGGTTGCTGGAAATTGATGGCACTTGCCTGGTGAAATTGGTTGCAAAGTTCACCTTCAAATAAAAGTTGTGCCTAATTGCTGAAGCCAACATGTCTCAAAAGGTGCAGCTTTTACTTTGAAGACAATTTCATAGCTGCTCAGTAAGTAGTTGGCGAGTGTTTGCAGATAAGCTGGTGTCTTCTGTGCAAACTAAAGACAACCTCCTGCATCTGCCACCAACTACTTGCTGGCAGTTTGCTGGCATATTCATGTCTCCAGGTGGTCTCAAGATGGTCTCCAGGTGGTCTCCAACCAGTCTCTAGGCCTGTGTGACTGGGGACTGGGATGTCTGTAGAAACTCCACTGGTTGGATTTTCAAATTAGAAATTGTCAAGAACTGTGAGGGGAAAACTTGACCGACTGGATGTTATTTATTGTCTTGAGAATGAGTTGAGTAGTCGCATGCCTGCGACTGGAAACTTTTTGATAGCACTATTATTCTTGTGCATTTTTTTAAACTTGTTTGTCCCTTCCAGGGTGCCATACTACCTTTGATCACAAAATTAGATTGCTAGACTGCTTATTAATATTATTATTATTTTTTATTTTTTTTAATTGTTTTGATGACCAGAAAGAGTGTTTGTGGAAACTGAAACATTTTAATTTACTTGATTGTATTTGTGTGTATGTCTGATTGTTGTATAGACATAAAGGTAATTATCCTCATCTCCCATGCCACTTAGCTGCTGAGCATCCATCTTTTAGGCTTTATTGTAGCTTGGTTTTGCCTTCTTAGTGTTACCCAGAAGTGCTTTTTCGCCTCTTTCTGTTTCTTTTACCTAAATATTAATCTATTTAGTTAAAACACATTGCACCAGTCATGACCACACTAAAGGATTTACAGCAATGTTTACCAGATCAAATGCTAAAAAAACATTTATTTTTCTCCCCTTTCCATATAAATGTGTACATACAGAGGAATATATAAATCTTTAAGCTGATGTACAGCATAAGGATGTTAATGTGCGTGTGTATATATACTGTATATTCTAATTTTAGACTGCCTCTGCACTGGTTGTGTTCATAGATAAAAGAGAAATCCACTTAGTATTCAGATAGACAATGTTAAAATCTCCAATAAGTAACCAGCAGCACGTGAAATCCTAACATCTGAGCAGCCCACAGGAGAAATTTGCATCATCTCAAGGCCAGTATGTCACAGCGATTAATAAAGGGTTACCGAGGCAATGCTGGAAAAAGATCATTTTCAGCTTTACTCAAACAGGTTTCATTACCATAACCCTGACCTGCATTGTTTCCATTTACATTCTCAGTCCTGCTGGAATGAGTTTGCACTATGATTTTTTTACTATACCGCAGCTTTTTCAGCTGCATGTCTCAGCAAGATTCAAAAACATCTAAAAGCCCAGTGTGTGCACAAACACACACACAGGTATAACAACAAGTATGATGGCAATAATTTGTCAAGAGTCTGGCTAACACGGTCCAACTGTAGGTAGCAGATCATGTTTGTGCGTTTCTAAATTGTGCCTGCTGTTGTTGTGGTGCTGTGATGGTTCAGTTTTGTGACATTTTTAAGAGACCACCCCTCACTCGCTCTCCCTCTGTGCTGCTTCTGTGAGTGAACCGCACCCGTTCCAGCCGTTTTGCAACCATCTTGTTCAGAACAGAAGACGGTGTCTAGTTCATCCCTGTCATGAGCATTTCCACTGGCTCTTCTTTTGTTTTTTCTGTTTTTGAATGTCATGTCCTGTGTATATCCGTGTCAGCACATGCCAGTGTATGTGATCGTCTGTTCACGTTTACCCCTTTTTGATCAGTGCGCGAGTGAGCGTATTTATGTGTCTGTGCTAACGCTCGTACAGGTGTGTGCGTGTCTGTGTCATCATTACCGAAGACCAAGCTCTCCAGACGTAGTTTACAGTTCTGTCCAGTGACTCTTTCCACCACGTTAATGCAGAAAAAGCTACTTAAGAGCCGTGTGCAGCTGTCTAAACCTTCCAGTTACACCTTGTAAAATTGTGTTTTCAGCATCTTGAACTTGGCAGTGAAGACCTGTAAATCTATCAGTCCGCGTGTCGTCATTGCATCACGTAATGTAATATTAACTGACGGTAATCCAAACTTACTTTTTGTCATTACATGTCTGGTTAATAGCTCTGTTTTACAATTTAGTGCTGTAGGTCAAATCTGTTCTGTGAACTTTGCACTTTAAAAACTGGAATACCTAGTGAGAAAGGCAGCTTTTACATGGAGAAAATGCCTTATGCGTGTCATACCTGACTTTGCATGCTAGTGGATGTTACCGTGTTGTAGAATAAATTTATCTCTAACCATGAAAAGTCTGTCTTCGTTTTAATTTGCCTGCTAATGGAAACTCTCTGAGACGAAGAAGGGGATCATCGTTTGGTAAAAACCACGTCGACTCATTAAATCCGGCACCACTGTTCGGTAGTCGCAGTGTTCAAAGTAATGTTTAATTCAATTACCTCCTGTTGAGGTCATCTGAGTACGTGATCCATCTCCCAGCACATGAGTAGCACATTTTTCCTATAGTGTAGCATTTTCAAGGATCTGAACTCACAACCTCAAATTCACGTCACACTATTATGTATTCTGAGCCTGGTGTCACAGTCGGCTATGAAATTAAACGATCTGAGAATTAAGAATTAATTAAGCAGTGCTGATTTTCTGTGGTTATGCTTCAGGTCCAGTGGGTGGCAATCTAAGTCTGGCTGCATTTTCATTAAACTTATGCACAATCATTCATGGACTCTGTAAGTCCTAAAAAAATAAGAAATTATTTATCTCATTCTATTATAATGGTTTAATGAAAATGGTATGAAGGATTTCATGCATCCATACTGGTGACAGTGGAGCTGAATGAGTCTGGTAGAGAAGGTGCTCCACTGCTGTCCAGTAAAAGATACTCAAATCATTACCTCTGAATAAAGGATACTCCACCATACCCACAAGTTTAAAAGAAACTCAAACTCATCTTGTTGTTAAAAACGTTTAAATCCTTTTTCTTGTATTTTATCAGTCTTAATATTCAGAATTTTGTCCATTCCCCTTCCCCTAAATCCTCAGATTTGTCTAAAGACACAGTCCTGGGTAAAAGTATTGAGTCACCCCTCGTGTCTTCATAGTTTATTTGTTTGTTTGTTTGTTTGTTTTTAAGTGACCTTGAGCAACATTTCTCCAGGCGTTCAGATCTTATTTATTTATTATGTTTTCCTTGTTAGATTGGGTTCCAGTTAGTTCAATGCATTAAAAATGCCCTATAACGCAGTTTGACAGACATAACAACTCACACTTGATGAGAGCTCACAACTTGTCAGCTCTCATCAAGGTTTTGCTTAATAAATGACCTTAGGCAAAAGATTCCATGTATTATTTGCCACAAACAGGATCTTTAATATTATTTTTTATTTACATAAAGACATGACTTTTTAAAAACTGTCTCAATAATTTATTTCCTTACAGTCACCTTTGACCTCGCTGTGACGGTCACTGTTCAGCTTGATTCTTCATAAAGTTAAGATGAGTATGCTCTCAGAATGCTTTGGATTCGAGGCCAAGAAGTTGAAGGCAGTCAGTGGGTGCGTCGGTGAAAGACATTCAATAACATGCTAAAAGATAGCAACGAGTTTGTGTAATTTAAAATTAAGACATGTGGTTACTAACATGCAATGGCTATTTGACTCTCTGAGCTATCCGCCTCCCCTGCTGAATCTTCCATTTATCCCATTATTCTCTTCACATCTTTAAAATGTTCCTGAAGAACTTGGCCAGCTGCCCCTGAGGTTTCTCCTCCCACGGCTTCATAAAGCCGCCGTTACGTTTGGATGCAGGTGGGCTGCCCCATCTGAAGTGACTCATCTTATAGGTCCTATCTTTCCTCTCCTGCAAGCTCAAGGGGCTTTGTGATTTGGAGCTGTCCCTGGCCCTCAGCAATCCCTGATTTTCATTACTTCCTCCATCAATGTCCCCCTCCGCTTCATCTTCGCTACTGCTCAGCTGTCTGCGAGCCTGAAAGGGAAAACGGCCCTCAGAGGAGCTTCCTCCTTCCAGAGAAGAGGCAAAGACTTTAACAGGTCGGCGTTTACGGCCCGAGGGCTTCCCCCAGCGGAAGTGCTCCATTGAATAGGAGCGTCTCTCGTCACTGCGGGCCTTAAGCTTTGGCTCTCGCATCTTAAGTCCTGCTGGTTTGCCCCAGCGGAAGTGCTCCATTCTGTAGGAGCGCCGCTCGTCGCTGCGGGCTTTCAGATCTGACTCGGATATTTTGTCATGGGAAGCCAGTGTGGCTAGAATAACTCTGAGTAAGAGGTCATCATCATAATCATCACCACCACCAGCATCAGCATCACTGTCAACTTTCAGGGCCAATGCACTGAGCTCTGGGATTTCAGTCTGGATCACAGACATGCAGAGGTGAACACAGTCCTGTGTGGAAGAAATGGCAAAGATAATGTCATACAGAGCAGGAAGACTTGAAGTTCCCTGACAGCTGCTGGTGAAGTCATAAGACTTGGCATGATAGGAAAAAATCCCCAAAACCAACAACAAACAAACAAACAAACAAACATCCCCTTTATTGCTTATGGGTGTTAAAAATTACAGATGGCTTTTCTAGGTTTTAAATTTAGTGTTGCATTGATAAAATAACTGCAGCTTGTTCTGTATCCAAACACACCCACTTAAGGCTATTATCACATGGACAACTCAAGAAACAAGAAACAAGAAATTACATTTAAGGACTGTGTTGACTCATCTTTTCAGCTTTCACATCAACTTATTTGTCAAAGAATGAAATTGTTCACTATCACCACAGATCTCCTGGCTTTGCCGGGGGAAAAGGAAGTAATGTTATATGCTCTGAGTTTTAAGTTTCCATTTTCTAAGTACTTCTAAGTACTCATCACCTTGACACTAACAAAAAAAAAGATTAGTGGAAGCGATAATTTTGATTAAAATGTAAGGTTTACTTACATTTAATTTGACCAGATTCCATTAAATATGTTTTACATTGCGCTTACGGATGAGATGAAAATGTGCAACATAGGGCTCCGATAAGTTTTCTTGGCCAGTGATGACGATCTAAAAGAAGTGGCAGGGCTGTTCGACCTACCAGTATCCTCGCCTTGTTGCTCAGGTCCTTGCAGATGGAGTTGTCCCAGCATACTGACTCAAACCCGGGGATGCACACAAATGCCATCACCGCCACCAACAACCAGCACTGGCACACCATCTTCAGCCCGGTGCACAGGACACCAACTCGACCGGGGTGGAGCTGCAGAAGTGAAGCCACAGTGGGGAAAGCTTTGAGTCTCAGCAGACAAAAATATTCATTAGTCATCTTGAAATGTTATTTTGTGAAGAAATACAGTAGGTGTCTCTTAATAATTGCGCTTGCGTAACACTTTCCGCCCGTCCTTATGTAACGTGATGTGTTTGAACACTACCTTCGAAATAGCCAGAGAGCCGAGCTTTTGTAGCTGGTGTGTCATGAACTTAAACACGTGAACTTAAACAACTATGTTCTCTTTTTGGTGTTTGTTTATCAGGAGCACATGTATTTTATTTTGAAGGTGTCAAACATGTGGCAGTATTTTTATTTTTCAAAGGATGAACCTTCAGCACCGAGGACTGTGTCAAAACGATCAGCAGGACTGATGAGGTTCAAAACAGAGGAGGGACAGGGCAGGGTCTTCTGTTCCCTTGATGGGTTAATTTCATGTGAGATTTAGACTGAAAATATATGAAGATAATAGATTTGAAGATTTTTTTTAAATGATGATTTAATTTACCTACACCTAAGGCCCTGTATGAAAAAGTAATTGCTCCTAATCTTACTAACTGGTGGAACACCCTTGGCAGCAAGCGAAGCATGAACTAGCAACGAGCCTTTCACGTCACTGTGGAGGAATTTTGGTCCACTCTTCTTTGCAGAATTGTTTTAAATCAGACACATTAGAGGGTTTGCCTGAACAGTCTTTTTAAAGTCATGCCAAAGCATCTTAGTCTGATTTAAGTCCAGGCGCCGACTAGGCCACCCCCAAACCCTTCCTTTAGGTTTTTTTCAGAGGTGGACTTGCTTGTGTGTTAAACTCAAGTGTGGTTGGGCTTCAAGACATGAACTGATGGCCTGACATTCACCTTCAGGATTTTATGTTCGGGAAGCAGAATTCATGGTTCTATCAATTTTCCAGATCCCGAAGCAGCAAAAACCATCACGCTACCACCACCATGTTTGTCTGTTGATATGATTTTCTTTTTATTTAATGTTGTGTTAGTTTTACATTGCACATAACGGGACTCTAACCTTCCAAAAAAAAAAAAAAAAAGTCTTTTCAGTCCACAAAATATTTTCCCAGAATTCTTTGGGATCACAATGCATTTTTATATTAACGTGGGTTATATTTGTCCAATATTAAAAAAAATATGTGATGTTGTGAAAGTGTGACAAATATGCAAAAACAAAAAACTGAATGAAAACAAAATCAGGCAGGGGGGCAAATACTTTTTCACAGCACTGTTCTCTGTGTGCAGAGAGCAACCAGCTGGGATCCTGATGTCACTGTCTACCGCTGCAAGGCTGTGTTATTCTACCGCCAATAAATTTAAGCTTCCTTTTTTGAAAACGCAAGGAGCTATGAAGCAACTTTTGTCTTTCAGCAGCAGGACTGCAATGTTTTTTTTCAGTCTTGACTAATTGAAGACAGATGTAGCTACTTTGACATCACCCAATGGGTTGTGGAGTTCTGCTTTGAAGCTTTCAGATGAACATTTTTTCTGTCATCATCTTAGTTTTGAAATCGGACGCAATAAATAAAAGTGGATTTGACCAAACTGCATGCTAAGACATTAGGGAGCTGTTTGTCTTTCTTTCTTTCTCTCAGACTATAACTAGGTTGGGAGAATAGAGAGAACAGTATTGCTGCTTGTGTTCAGGGACAGCCAAAGGAACTGTTAATAATTCTGATAAAGGACTTCCTTTCAGACATAAATTTCTAGCAGGGATTTCACAGTAGACCCTAAAATACTTTCATTTTCTGAGCTCAGAGTTGTTTTCTTGCCTGGAAACCAAGCAGGAAAAAATGAATCTAATTGTCTCAATAAAACTTAACAGAAAAACACAACAATGACAACAATAAGTACATTTTGAAGTGTGCTACTTAATTGAATATGAACAATTTGGTTATTGAAGTCATGAGGATGAATATCCTCTCATGCTTCTTATTGCGTTTTCTCTTTTCTATACTCTCCTATTTCCAATCAGTCTCGAGGACAGCTTTCTTATTATAAAAAGGTAATATCTATAATATGAAACCGAAGTGCAGTATATAAACCCCATGTTCACTGCTTTTGGTTAAATCCGACACACTGCCAGTCATCTGATGCTTCACAGATGTTGAGAAAAATCCTGTCTCCCTTGTCAAACTTTTCCCTGGGCGTGTTAACCGTTTAAAGATGTAAACAATCTTTTTTCTTTTCTTTGCCGGGGTATTGGATTTTTCTCACTTCCTCCTTCACTATTCTAAAGAGTGAGTCCTCGGTGAGCCATTGTCTTTGCGAGTCTGGCAGAGACTCGTCTTCCTACTGAATGACTCACAGCTGAGCTGTGCTCTCCACAGACAGACTCCGATAAAAGAGGCATGAGCGCTGCAATCAAAATAAATGCAAAATTGTACGTGTGAAATGATTTCTACTGTTTTGTAAGTTAGATCACCTTTTGTTTACATTAAAGGAAAGCTGAATTCATCATAACTGTGTATCCTTTGCTGCAAGCACATCATATAAAATAGTAGAAATTCCCAAATCCATGAATAAGGGAGTTTAGCAAATAAGTTAATTTGAGCTCATCCAACAAGTCACGCCAAACAAGCAAGTTTAAAAAAACAAATCATATAAATATATTTGTTACCTTTTTCAGATGCTTTCTCTCCTCTTGCTTTTGTCACTCCTTTTGTCCACAGATCCTCCAGACTGGTGACTCTAAACTGTGGTCCCTCTCCTCCTCTCCTGCTTTCTCTCTGCTCTTTGAGAAATGCTCAGTAGGAGAGGGTCTGCTGTTGCTTCCTTAAGGGAGGAAAGCTATTTTTATAGACATGTGAAGTAAAGCGTCTCAAGGCCTCGGGGTGTGATTGAGGTAAAGGGTCTCCTGCTCCTTCTCTTGATGGGGAGGAGTCGTGCATTCGTGGAGTTTTGCGTATGGTATATTTAAACGCTTCCCACACACTTTTTAATCAATAGCGAGGCTGGCTTCATCAGCCGGGTGATGAGGCTGTGGTTAACTGGTTAACTTCCCCCCCCTCTTTGTAATCCTCCTCTGATTGCGACACAGTCTTGAAACCCTATAAGTACCCTGCATTTCTTGAAAGCATGTTTACGTTATCGTATACTGATTAAAAAGAAACACAACTGCTGTTCATTAGCGGACCCATGTCCACGCTTTAAATCCCTCAAAGGTCAGCTCTAATCACTGACATCATTATCCTCTGAGCAACAGTGAAGGGTGCCAATCGATTTGACTGATTGGATCGTTTCTCTGTGGTTCTCGTTTTGACAAGGTGTGCATGTATCCCTGCGTGAAAACTTCATTATAAGGACCTGACTCACTGTTTGGACGTCATGAGTGGACCTCAAGTGCGGATGATACACACAAATAAAGAAATAAACACACGTGGTGCTTTTAAAACGGAAATATTGTGCAGCTGAAGCTTTAGTGCCAGTGCCAAACACATTCTGCCGCTCGTTTGCTGCAGGGTTAGGTGCACAAGGACAAGTCACACAGAACAGCACAAGTGGAGAACAAGCACCCATTGTAAGAGATATAGAACACTTTCCTTTCATAAACCGGCCTATCTCCAGCTATTTGTTATCATTTTATAGCTGAAAGGACACAGTGAGTGAAAAATGAGACAGAAGATGCTCATATGATTTTTAAAAAAGGTCTATTATATTGAATTACAGATGCATGTGGGTCAGGTTGCTGTGCTCAAAGTCAGAGATATGTGCCTGAATTGACCGTATTGAGGATACCTCCTCTAACTGCCATTATACAAAGCAAGAGTAGAAAAAAATGCACATATCGTGACCTAATTATGTCTTTGGCTATTCTTAATATAAGCATCCACAGTCTGCCCCCTTCAACTACTCATCAATAAGCAACAGTCTTTTCTGACTACCTGCAAACATGTGAACTATTACTTTATGATACAGTTAAAACAGAAAAATCAGCCCAAATGACCTTAAAATGATACGTTATTGTCTTATGTTGACTACCTAGTAAGTAAGTTTTGCCACCTTTTCATTGGAGGTTCATCAGATATACCTGTTCACCTTCTCATTGACACAAATATCTAATGAGCGATGCACATACAAAGATGTGTTGTGTTACGTGTCATGCATTCATGTCAGACACCACCAGTCTGAACTGATTCCGGGCAGGATGGATCCATGTGTTCATGTTGTTTACACCGATTTGTGACCAAAACTTTCAAATGTTGCAGCAGAAGCTGAGACTCATGACACCAGAAAACATTTTTCCTATTTTCTATTGTTCAGTTTTAGTGAGCACGTGTGAGTTGTAGCCTTAATTCCCGCTGTTAGCTAACAGGAGAGGAGAGGTATGGCCATTCTCCTCTTACCTCTGGCATCATTTTCACCCAAAGAACCACAGCTCGCTGGATATTTTCTCTTTTTTGGCCATTCTCTGTAAACCCTAGCAGCCTGCCCATCACCAAAAACCATGCCACATTCAAAGTCACTTAAATCCCCTTTTATGCAGATTCTTAGTTTGCTTAGTTTGAACTTCAGTAGCTCGTCTTGATCATCTCTGCATGCATAAATGCAAAGATTTGCTGCCATGTGACTGGTAGATTAGATATATGCATGAACAAACTGCTAATAACGTGGTTGGTAAACGTATATACCAACTAAACCCAAAATTGTGAGACTGCTTGTGAAGAAATTTTAGCATCTGTTTTGAATTTAATCTTTTTTTTTCACGGAGAATAGTTCATTCTCTCCCTGCCCCTCACTTTCTGAAAATCATCCAAAGAGCTTCGTGTCATGTCAGGAATTCCTGGCTTTCTCTGTTGTCACATGTTAAATAGGGCTGAAGTGACTGTGTAGAAAAGTCATTCAGAGTCAGCGCTTCTTGGTCTGCTTTGTTTTTCTCATATTGCCAGTAAAGCTTTGAAGCTTCTAATGATGCAGTTGATCCGGTGGAGTTTTCCAACTCTGGAGAAGCAAAACACCCCCAGACATGAATCTTCCCACCTCGGTGCTTCACTGTGGGTTTGATACACTGTGGTGTCATTATTTCTCCTGCTCATCTCCTTTACATACTATTTTCTGATACTCCCACTAATCTCCTAATGGATTGATCAGCAAATAGCTAAATTTTCCATCCTTTACTGTGAAATACGAGGACACACCGACACTGAAACTGCAGCCTTCTTGTGAAAGAACCTCTGCTGATTGCAGTCTTGCTTTCTTTATTTAGAAAATTTTGTAGCTTCAGTCTCTAGGACCACAGTGTATTGATCTTCCCTTTGGGTCCGCCTGGACGTGCTTTGACCACAGCTTATCCCGTTTTCACAAAGTGTTTTAGCGAGCCATGCACTGCCACACTTGGAAAATAGAAAATTTGATCAGTAACAAATAGAAAAACAAAGAAATTATTACAGTAATCATATTAAAGCTTTGGGTGAATTGTGAATTAAGCATAAAATTAAAAATGCTGATTATTTAACCACTTATACAAGAATCAATCTTTAAAATATCTTAGCCCCCTCAGATAAACCTTTAAATACTCTAATATTGCATTAATACGCCTAAATGTAAAATCAATATCTCTACTTTATATACAGCATTTTCACACAAAATATTACCTCTGTTTTTAGGTAATGATGCTTAGTTTCTATGAATATCACCAATACACACCAAAGGCTGAAAGGCTACTAGTTACTTAGATGAATGTGTTTCCTGGCAGCCCTTTAGTTACATCACAAATCCCGGTCATCACTGTCGGCAGGAAGAGAAAAAGATAAAACCTTCCAGATCACAACTCTCCTGAACCGCCTAAGGCTCGGATAATCATCAGTGATAAGGAAGTATAACTCTTTGGTTATATTTAGGGGTATGATGTTTGTAGCTTGAAGGCGAGACAGGAAGTGGCATTCTGAAGTGGGAGCTATTCTCTCCTCTCTCCGCAGTTTTAACCTGCTTAACCTCCATGTGGCCCTGCTCTGCAGGTGGTGTTTGTTCTGGACAGCGCCTGCTTGTGAATTTGAGTCATTACTGGATGCGAATGCTAAAACAAAAAGGACATGCTTGCTAAGCCTCCTCTTCAGTGGAGAAATAAAGGTTATAACAAACAGAGATGATGCATTCCTACAGCACTTAGGAGTGTAATTCAGCTCCCCGCTGATGTTGATTGCTTCCACTATTTAATAACACTGCAACCCCAAGGCAGGTCTGTGCAGGATGTGAATCACCACCAAATAATAACTCTGTCTAAACACCTACCATTTAAGTATTATCATCTCATTAATCCGTTTTAGGTTTTAGAAGTGTTACAGATGATGGTGGAGAAGAAACATGACTTGTTCCTTCATTAAACTGTACAGCTTCACAGTGAATGAGTGTTCATAACCAGCATATATGAGTGATGTCATGCACATTATTTAAAGTGTCCACACACTAATTCAGTATATGTGTAGTATTTCAGCTATTTTTAGGAATGTACTCTAGTCAGTCTCCCACTCATGATATAGCATCAGCAGCATCTGTCTCCTCCTGTGGCCCCTGCTTATTGCCGTTGGGTTTCTAATGGCTAGTGGGCATTAGTTACATGGATCAGATTTTTACCATTAAGTTGGTTTCTAAGCACCTGTCCTTTGCAATGTAGGATCATTTTATTGCAATGAGAATAGTTATTGCTTTAGTGGATTCCTAAATATAATTACAGTCATCGTGAGTACTATAAGGATATAGGTTTATTATTTTGACAGAAAACCTGACCCTGTTTGTAAGATACGGTACTGCATCTTAAACTACCCATCATTTCTTTGTATTTTTGCAAGGAAAATGGGAGGCTGGTGTGAAAGTTTAGGCTTCATTTTTGGATCAAGGCTTTCTGTTTAGACAAATTCTAGCCACTTCAGTAATGATGAGGTCCAGATTCTGAGGAGGCTACTCCACAATTTACTTCTTATTCTGTCTTCCACCTGCAGAGTTTCCTCTGTTATTTTAAGGACATGCTGCACACCATGTCATGGTCCGGTTGAGTGGCTGTGTGTTTCCTCCAGGCTCTGGTCTCTGCCCTTGAGTGGAGCCTCTTCAGCCTTTTCATTGCCTACACCTGCTACTAATCTCCGTGGTTGGGAGATTACAGGGACGTAATTTCCAGGGAGGTTAGGGGGGTTATGACCATCCCCAATAATCAGACCCAACCAATATAACCCCCCCAATAAAATTAGGAATTATCTTGCATAATTAGGCTGTTGATTTTCTTTACTCATTTCAGGTATTAACAGCAAAATAGTTGCCTGTTTAATAATCTGGGAATTTACCCGGATTTATTTATTTAGACAGAGATCTTGACCCCCCCAATGTTGAGCACAAAGTTGCGCCGATGGCTGTATATAAGACCAGTGCTCTTCGCCAGATTGTCTGCTAACCTTCGTTAGTCCCGGTGGCTAACTAATGTCTAATCTAGTGTCTAGTCAAGTCTTGTATTAGGGCTGTTCGACATAACGATATATATCCAGTGTTGGGAAGGTTACTTTTAAAATGTATTCCATTACAGAATACAGAATACATGCCCCAAAATGTATTCTGTAACGTATTCCGTTACGTTACTCAATGACAGTAACGTATTCTGAATACTTTGGATTACTTAATATATTATCATGCTTTTTACAACTACGTGAATGTACTGTAACGATGGTTAAGTGTTATTGTACAGTGACATGTTGGTGATCTCTGCACACTGTTGTTGTTCCTTTAAGATTCATGTTTGGTTGTGGTGTACAGGAAGGGGTGGGTGGGACCTGGTTGTTCTGTGTGTGTGCCAGGCTGAAGAGAGGTGGAGTTCGAGAGCGCTTCCCCCTGAGTTAACAACCCGCTGGCTTGTGTGCCAAATAAACGGACAAACTGAGACCCCAACCGTCTGGTTCTTGTGAACGTTACAT